CACCCACAGTATACAAGAGTAAGATTTCATTTTAAGCTATTGTGCAATTACCTCTGTGTACATTACACAAACGCATGTAAATCAGGACAAAAATAATTTTTTGAAATCAGATTACTGAATGTTGTAGATGTTCAATTTTTAGAATATAATTTGGTATTTTTCTGGTTCTGAAATGGTAAAACCCCTTGCTGAGAGGAGTACTTCCAGGGGCAAGGGGAAGGACTTCTGGTGGGAAAGGTCAGGGGTTAGGGGGCTGGAACTTCCAGCCACAAGATGGTGACCAGGGGGTGGGACACCTGCCAAAGGGCAGGGCTACCCATGTGACCCTGACCAGTTTGCCAAAACTCAGTAAGCGGCCTTCCACCCAAAATAATTGCCTGCTCCTGCCTAAGCTCTAGTAAGGACATTGTCGTCATGTAAGCACGTTGGAACACTTTTAGGCTGGTTCCTCTAGGTCTAAATGCAACCACAGCATCAATACATGTAACTTTCTTACCTTTTCGTTTATTTAGGGGGGGTGCCGTCTATAAGATTTGGCATTTGAAAGTTTGGTTATTACTTTTAATTTCAGAAGCAGGGATGCAATGTAGTGGTTACCCTTCAGGAGTTCTGTGTTGTATTCTTAGTTCTGTCAGTTTTTTGGTGTAACCTTAGGTGGGTTCCTTAGCATTAGGAACAAAGGCACAAAGTTCAGACTTGCTTTTTCTTTTCTATTTAATTTTTTTTTTTAATAATCTTCCCCTCCCCCTCTTGTATATACCCCTTCTTGTATGGTATATGGATGGCATCCGACTTTGTGTGGGGCTTTAATCTCAGTTGAAGCCTGATTTCTGCTGTAATCAAAATGTTACCTAATGTCAACTGTACCAAATTAGCAATCTGTATTCCCTTGTTGCATACTGTAAAACATGACTTGATTGTTTTCCATCCTTGTCCCTACAAAACTTCGAGGTTAACCTGAAATTTTATAATTTGTTTATTTTTCATAAACAAAAAACAAAGCAAACAAACAAAACCCACCCAATTCTTATTGACGAGGATCTACCAAAATTGAGATTTCATGGATTTTGCAAAATTGGGCATTGCCTGCAAATTCCATGGGGGGGACACAACTTATTGAAAAAAAAATACTGGCTCCTCAGGGGGATTCAGCAGTCCTTGGGGTGCTGCAGCAGGCCATTGGGGGAGAGGTCTACCCCTTCAGAAGGCTGTCGGCAAGATGGCTGCTGCCCCTCACCACTGGCCGGGAGTCCTACCTGTCATGTGGCCCCTCCCTTCTCTACCAATTGGCAGCAAGGGTCAGAGCTGCATGACAGACAACCCTCGCAGCTAGTCAGTGACAAGGTGCATGGCTGCTGGGGCCTCTTGGCCAATCAGTAGTCAGGGGTGGGGGAGCATACACCATGCTCTGCTTGCAAAATACTTGTCAGGCCCTGTGTTCTGCCCACAAAATTAGGGGCCAGCCACACCTAATTCAGTAGGTCCCTACTTAGTGCTAAATAAAAGAATCTCTTAATATTACCAAAATGAGTCTGTTACCCCTTTACAGACGCGTGTGTTTTCCCAGTGCAAGGAAATTAACCCTATTAATTGGAGACTTGCTATCTTGGGTATCTTCAAACTTGCAAGTTGCCTGAGTAACTGACCTTTTCTTTCTATGATGATCTTTGCTGCAATAAGGGTATTATTTGTTGTGTATTATCTTATAGGAAGTATGTTGCAGAAACAAGTGAGGTTTTTAAACTTATATGTTTACTTGAAAAAACTACCGTGTCTCTGCATTTATGATGACCTTGATGGATTAGGAGGGGAAAAAGCAATATGAGTACAGTTGTACTGTTTAAAAATTATGAGCAAGATAAATTCCATAGGATGATGATCTTCTGTTTACTAAAAATTTTCCTTTAGCCTGTTCAGTGGAGTTATAATTTGTAACTTTGACTTGTTGCTACACAGGCAGAGCTCTCTTGAGAAAATTTGAGGAAGTCCTCTAAATTTGATTCAGTTAATTTATTTAATCTCTGAACAGTTTGTCTGACAATTTAAGGACTAGAGAGGTTCTAGAAATTGATCAGGGGGAAAAAAGGTGCCTACATTTTTTTAAATGGGATAAAGGAGTAATTAATTACCTAATACTATAATGAACAACTTTTGAGATGTAGTTGCTGATTGACTTCTGAGTCTACATCAGCTACTTCAAATAGGCTCTTTCCTGCCTATGCAGGGGGTCGGACTCACTGATCTATTGAGGTCCCTTCCGACCCTAACATTTATGAATCTATGAAATATTCCCCAAATATTAAGCAATATATAGTGTATTGCAATAGCATTTATTGTATGGCTACGTCCATACTAATATTAGCTGTAAGTATTGTTTTTGTTTTTTATATTCATGATCAGCTATGGCTAGGAAGTTGTAAATTCATGCTCATGTTGCTGGCATAAGCTGTGAACCTCTCTTATGCATGCTGTACTCTGATTCTCTCATCATCTTTATCTGGAGTGCCCATCTTCCAGAAACTGGTCAAAACTAGCCTGTGGCCAGTTATTTAATTTAGTCACAGGCACTTGATAATACACTTATTTCGGCTATTTATTGGTTTATCTAGAGCAGATCATGTAAACCAGGGGAGAAGGGAGGCGGTTACTGTGGGTCAAATCTGGCCTGCAAGTGTACTTTGCTTAACCTGTGGGGTTTCCCATGGATCACCCACATCCATGGGCTAGATTAAGCCTTTTGGATTTTACTGCCACTGCGGCCAAAGCCCCTGAGGTGATGTTATTCCTCACTTGTGGTGCAGCTCCAGAACCTAGGGAGTTGAGGAGTGATGACCATCATTTTCCCATTTACTGCCAAAATCAGGGTTTTTAAGTCCCCCATTTCCACCTTGTTTCATGTGTTTGATGTCATTTCCTGCTGCCACTTCTCCTCACCCCTCTGCCTACCTGCCGCTCCGGCTATGTGGCCAGAGCCACAGGACACCGCAGGAGCTGGCCAGGTCTGGCCCCTGCAATTCCCTGGCTGGCTCTGTGTGGTGCCGGCCTGACCGGACTGGTTCCTGCTGTGTTTTGCGGTCCTGGCCATGCAGCTTGGAACCAAGGAGGGAGGGGGAGGGAGGAACGGTGGGTGGGAAGGTAGGGAAGTGGCAGAAGGGTCGGGGAGGAGAAGTGGCAGCAAGTGGCAGTGAAGGGTCTGTGCCAGTGCACCATGGCCAGGGGTGGCAGGAGCACCGAGTCCAGGCTGGCAGGAGCTCTGCCTGTCACAGGCCGAGAGTGCCTTGAGGCCTCACAGCCTGCTGCTGGTGCCACTGCTTGGCTGGGGCAGTGAGCAATGGGGCGGGGGGGCCTGTTCGTAGGAGTGTCCCACTGCACACTCCACCATACACATGTACCCTCACCCCCCCTCGAATCACCATACACCCCCCCAT